GCCAGACGGCAGGTGGGCAGGTGGGGGTCAGCATGGTGAGAGGGAGGGGCCTTTGCAGGTGGTGATTGTAAAAGAGGCCTGGGCGAGAAGCAGCCTAGCGGCTGTGGGTCCCAGAAGGCTGAGCAGGGCCCTGGGCCTGCTGGTGGACGTGATAGCCTAGGTGAGGCCGGGCATGGGAGAGGCCAGGGGATCCGGGAGACCTCCCACAAGGGGAGGGAGAGAGCAGGTCCGCTGCTGGGGCGCTGCCTGCCTGCTTTGGTCTGAGATGCTTGGGATCGCCAGGACAGGTGGCCATCGGGGTGTGGGGCCCTGAGGAGGTGCTGGGGTCAAGGCCGACTGGGGCCCGCCTGGGGGCAGGGAAGGAGGGGCCCGCTCCAGACAGAAAGCGGCCACTGAGAAGGTGGAGGCATCCCAGGGCTGCCCCGGGACTCAGAACACGGCTCAGCCGCTGTCCCTTCTGCACACCAGCTGCGCTGAGAGGTGGCCAAGACCCAAGTCCCTCAGGGCGGGCCCGCCAACCTCAGGGTGGAGCTGATCCATTGCCTGTCGCCTGGTTAAGGCCACCTCGGCCTTCCCTCTCTGTGTCCCCGTTGTTTCCCTGGGGAGAACTCGCTGACCTCTGGCCAGGTGGCTCCGCAGGGGGGACTTTGGGGGAACAGAGACCCCGCAGAGACCCCAGGACTCTGTAATGTCAGGGCGGGTCTGGGCTTTATTCTGGGTGTGGTGAGGCCTCCAGGGTCTTTAAAGGCGGCAGAGATGGGCTTAGGTGTGGGTGATAAATGAAATTACACACATGTGATTCTATGGAGCGCAGGCTTACTGTAGAGAATATGACAGGTGCAGACAGCAAGAAAGAACTAGACGCCCAGAATTCCATCACCCAGGACAGCCACTCTTCACGTTTTGAGTTACTTTCTTCCGGTTTTCTGCTGTTTTACGTAATTGGGATTCAGAATTGGTAAACAATTCTACATCCTGACTCATTTTCAATTTTATTGAGGTATAATTTAAATAAACTGTATCGTGCATGTTTAAAGTGTGCAATTTTGATGAGTTTTGACATAAAGATCTATCAAAACTCAGGAAATGTATGTATTTGGGGGACCCTATGAACCCTCAACCCTGCAATCAAATCCCTAACATTTGCCTCCCCCGAGACCTGTCCATGTTACTGATGTTTCCTGTTTTACCTGAAACGTCTTCTTAAATTCACTGTTCATGGCTTCTTTTGCCGCTCTACCTTTGTTTGTAGGAAGAGTTGTATTTGTTGTATTTTCAAAAATATATGTGGTTTTGGGAGGAGACTTCCGCTGCTCTACTCACGCCGCCATCTTGGCTCCTCTCTGTACCTTTGTTTTTTAGTCTTTCTTTTATTGTTGAGTATTTTAGGCTGTTTTTTACTCTTACAAATGCAATGAACATCTTCGTGTGAAAAGTGTTCTCTGCAGAGATAATGTGCTCCACCCTTTGTTCATTTTCGTTCTGGATTTGTGCGCCCCCCAGGTTATATAACCTCTTAGTTTAAATACCCAGATGAGGAATTACTTAGCCCAAGATTGGGCAGCTGCGCATGGCCCTGCGTGCTCGTCCAAGTGGCTGCTCCAATTTGTGCCCCCCTGAAGGCTTGGGCAGCTGGTTCTTGGGTACCAGCCTCAGCCAGGACATTGGGTCCTAAAACCTCCTGCGGTCTGGAAGCTGGACATTGTGTTTTGAGTTACATTTCTTTGATTCTGGGCAAGGCTGAACATTTTCTTGTGGGTTAGACAGATCGTGGGTATTACCTCATTTGCAGGTTGACTTTGTTTACGTGGTGGGGTCTTAAAGTATTTTTTTATTTTTTGCTGATTGCTTTGTAAAGTAAACACTCCAGTCCTTTGACATATTTTCTTATTTATTTATTTTTATTAAGGTATCATTGATATACACTCTTATGAAGGTTTCACATGAAAAACAATGTGGTTACTACATTCCCCCATGTCATTGAGTCCCCCCATTCCCCACTGAAGTAGTGACTTCCATCAGTGTACTAAGATGCCACAGAGTCACCACTTGTTTGACATATTTTCTGTGAATCGTTTTTCCTGGTATGTTGTCTGCCTTTAATTTGGGGTTTTTATTGAACGTATGTTTATGTAACATCCAACCCATCGATTTTTTTCTTCTCTGATTCTTTCCATTAGTCTCAAAAGCTTAAAAAAAACCTTTCTCCATCAGGAAACTTGATATGTACCAGTTTTCTCCTAAGATGCTGTGATCCGACTTGCATCAGCCTGAAGCCACTCTGGTGGGTGCTCGGAGGCAGACAGCTACCCCCGCATGGCCCCTAGGTCACCGTGTGCCTGTGCGCTGCGCTGGGCCTGCCCCGGGGCCAGCAGCCCCTGCCAACACCTGCTCCTCTCAGGCGCCGGGTGCTTTGGGGTGGTGCGGGGCCAAGAGGCCGGAGGCGGAGGTGTGCTGCAGTGTTGCTGTTCCCGGGGTGTAAGTCTGCCCCCAGCGTGTCACCGATCTCGGGCAGCTCTGCACATGCTCCTGCCCCAGGCACGTGCGCTCTTGCTATTTTCGGGATGCTTTTATTTCACGGACATGTGGCTTCATGACCGTCTTTTTACACGAGGGACCTGAACTCTGCAGCCCCTTTCTGTGTGAATACATCTGATTGAGTTGAGGTAGAAGCTGTACCACGACAGGAAGGAACCACCCTTGTGCCCGAATAGCGGCCGCCCAGCACTGAGGGGGTGGGCTGGGCTCTGGTCCCCTGCTGTCAGGGGCACCCTGCCCCCACCCCGTGGAGCTTTCCTTCAGACCCTCCACCCACCCCCCTGCCCCCTGCAGCTGCCACCAGGCTGGGGTGGTCCTTGGGCCCAGGGTTCATCCTGTGCTCTGGCCACCCACAGGCCCTGCCTCTCCCAGCAATGTCGCCACCCTGTTTCCAGTGTGCTTGCTCCCTGCCCCCAGTTCTGCCTGCAGAGCGGAGGCTGAGAGTTGAGGCTGAGGCTGGGCCTCCTTTGCTAGTCTACCCAACAGCAGCCTGTACACCCTGAGGGCAGCTGGGTGATGGGTCTCTAGGGACCCAGCTGGCCAGGAGACTGGCCCAGGCCCCAGGAGCAGCCCAAAGAGGGGAGTGCAGAAGCTCGAGCAGGCAGGGGCAGCAGGAGGGGTGTGAGCTGAGCGCCCCCCGGTGGCCACAGCAGTGGTGCGTCCTTGAGGGCATTCACTGCTTCCTGAGAGTGCTGGGAGCCTGGGGCTGCTCAGAGCCCTGCAAGTACGCAGTGGGCAAGGGCCTGTGTGCCCTGCGCTATGTGGGAGCCCAGTGGGGGGCTTACACCGTGGACGGGGGTGTGTTCGAATGTGTAGGCACAGGCACCCACATGCTCACACACCCCCCCCCATACTTTGCGTGTGGAGGCCCCTGTGAGGGTATCTGCTCGCAACCCCACAGGACTGGGGACACGGCCTCTGATGTTCAGCCTCCCTGCAGGCAACTTTCCTCTGGGGGCAGGCTGAGCTAATGTCCTCTGCCACGGTGACCCTGCCCTCCACCTGGCCCCACTCCACGGGCCTCCCTTCCCTGTGTGTGGGTGTGGGGGGCAGGCTCAGAGACCTGAGCAGGAGAACCAGCTGTGCTTGCTAGCTTCCCGGGCCCTCTGGCTCACACCGCCTCCAGGGAGCCCTCCCAGATACCTGTTAGCTAGCAGCCCTGGCTTCCTGTGCGGACACAGAGGTCAGCTTGCCGAGCTTGTTTCCCTCCTGCCAGTGGGGACAGGCAGCCAGCTCAGTGGCCAGTTAGGACCCAGTGAGGTGCTGCTGAGACGTCCTCTGGCCTGAGCTGAGGGATCTGTGTTGGCAGGTGTGCTGAGTCAGGCGATGGGGTCTTGAGAGACCAGCAGTTGGGAGCTGAGGGGCTGGGTGTTCATGGGCAGAGGAGTGGGGAGCCAACAGAAGGCCTCCAGGCCAAGTGGAGGACAGACAGACAGCAAGGCCTTGGAGTAGGGGCATGCACAGGAGTCCGTGTGGTGGACAGTGGGGCCAGCCAGGGTGGAGCTGTCAGCCCAGCGTGTCCCTGTTCTGTCCAGGGGACCCCCAGGCTGGCCCCGCCGGGTGTCCCCAAAGCCCTTGCTCTTGCTGGGAGGTTGGGGCAGCTGGGAGCCCTATTTTGGGGCCATGCTTCTGTGTTGGGGGGGCCATGTGGTGCTGCCCTGGAATCTCAGTTCCCCATCTGGTTAGCCGCTGGTGGACCAGGTGCTGCAGAAGGGGGTTCCCACTGTCCTCAGGACAGAACCAGCACCAAGGTGCCCTTGGGGGCTGACTCAGCAAGACGGAGACTTAGCAATGCCTGGGTGCATGGGGCACAGTGCTGCCCCGCTGATGCAGCACCACCTTCTCAGCGACAGTGGGGTCCCTGGGTCTCAAAGCCCAGACTGGCCTTCTAGCCATGGCCCTGGCTTCCCAGAGCCTAGCATGTGGCCAGTGGCCAGCTTTGAAATCTCTCCCACTTAGCAGGGCCCTGTCCTCCTTCTGGCCTCCTTGGGTCCTGCAACCCTGACCAGCGCCACACTATAGCTCTGGCAATGACAGCCCTGGGGCAGGCCCCAGAGGGCCAAGGTGGGGTGACAGAGTCCGAGAGGGACATCGAGGGGGTCACCGCAGCCTGTAGTCCATGACTTCACAGAGCGGTGTCTGTGAACTCCCGGAACGGGGAGCTTGTCAACCCGTGTCCTCGCTTGAGGCCAGAGCGGCGCCCAGTGGCCAGCCACGGGACCACAGGCCGCTTTTGGTGGCCCTGTGTATCCACCTGCCCTGGGCCTAGTGGCTGTGCCTCCAGGTGTGGGGAGTGGGAGCAAGTGTCAGGGGGCTGGAGCTCACAGTGTGTTGACCTGGGGGGTGCTGGGGAGCCTGGGAGGGGGTGGGGGTCTGGCTGGTTCTGAGTGCCCCCGGGGGACTGGGTGCAGTGTGGAGGCTGGGCTGCAGAGGCGACCCCTAACCCCTCTCTCCGTCGGCAGACGGCGCCCCACTCAGCGAGCTGTCCTGGCCGTCCTCCCTGGCTGTGGTGGCGGTGTCTTTCTCTGGACTCTTCACTGTCATCGTCCTCATGCTGGCCTGCCTGTGCTGTAAAAAGGGGGGCATCGGGTTCAAGGTGAGGGCTGGGGGCCCGATGTGGCTGTGCACGCAGTCCTGAGGGCTGGGCCCTCTCACCCCCACTCCGCACTGAGCATCCCTCCCCACTGGGGCCCCCTGGGGACCATACAGACCTGGGCCCGGACCCACAGCCTGTCCTCTGCGCACAGCTTCCCCCATCCTGGGTCGCCCCTATGGGGACCTGGCCTCACACTGTCCCGCTAGCTCAGTCAGGCTTCTGTGTATGCACAGGTTGGGCCCTCCAGGATGGTGAGGGTGGGCCTTTCAGGGGCTTGCGGGGGCTCCAGAGCTGGTGTGGAGGGGGCTGGTCCCCCAGGGGCCCTGGCTTCTCTGCAGAGAAGGAGGGGCTCTATGCCTAGAGGGTCCCCAAATCAGCAAAGGGAAACCAAGGCTCCCAGACATGCTGACCTGGCACCAAGGCCACCCTGCCAGCTGGAACCCCTCCGGGCACCTTCTGCCCACGGGAAAGGATGGTGCGCTGCCACGGAACCCGCGTGACTGTGGGCAGCGGCTGTGACCATCGCTGCCTATGACTGTCTGTGGCCATCCAGCCTTCATGCAGGGATAAGCTCCCCAGGATCCTCCTGGTTGGATTCTCAGGCGGAGGACCCCCTCCCAAGGATGCTGGCTGAGGGCCATCCCTTGGGGAGCTGTTCCCCTGTCCCGCAAGCCCCCCAGCTGCCCCCCACACCCAGCAGCAGCTCTGCAGGTGGGGGGACCAGGTGGAAAAGCTGGGAGCTGAGGTCCCCAGCCAGAGGCCTCCTGCCGCCAGCCTGTGTGGGCCAAGTTCCTGCCGACTTGGCAAACAGCGGGCTGGGCCACAGTCAGTCACCCACCCACGCACACGAGGCCAGCCACACCCTGGGCTGGAGGTCAGATTTCTGGGCCTGGCGAGGTGAGGATGGGAGGGGCAGTCCTGCAGCCGCACACACCTGCTCACTAAGCAGCCCCCATTTTGGAGGAACAGCCCTCCTGTGTCACCCTCTAACGTGTCACGACACAGAAGGGGGCTGGGGTGCTGCCCGCCTGCCTTTAGCTGAGGAAGCTAAGTTCCTAAGTGGCTGTGGGCTCTGTGTCCTGCCCAGCTGTCCCTGTCCCTGCCCTGGGGAGGTTCTCCCTGAGTGGCAGGCACAGTGGGCTGGGCCAGGCAAGGCTGCCTGCAAGGTCGGGGGGTGCAGGGGTGAAGGCGGGGGCCCAGGGGAAGGACGCTCTGGCCTTTGTGCAGGTCAGGCCCTCCCCCTGGTGCTGGGAGAACAAGGCCCCGAACAAGGGCCAGCCTCCGCGCCTCGTCCCCACGCCCTCCTCTCCTCCTGGGGAGCATGGTGCCCAGAGCAGTCCTGCACCAGTGCGCCCCGGGGGGAGGGCCTGCCTGCACAGGGGGCTCCCGCCCAGCCGTGAGGCCAGGGCTGGGCTCCCCCACCTGGAGCTGTGCTGGGCACGGGGCTGGGCAGCGATGCTCACAGTGTCCTATCTCATCACCCGTGCTGCTGGCGTAATCTGGGGGGTCTCCAGGTGGCCCTGTCAGGTAATGGGCTGGGCCAGGGTGGTTCTGCCAGCCCCAGGCCCCAAGGACATCTCCCGGGTGCTAGGGAGGGGAAACGCCGCTGGCACCAGCCCCTCCTCCGCCCCCTGGGGTCTGTCCTCCCTGGGCACAAACCAGGACCGGCCCGTAGCAACCCCGCCAGAGAGCTCCAGCCTCTCTCCTGAAGCTGAGAGATTCAGGGCCCCACGAAGGGCAGTTCCCTGGAGACGCTCGGTGCCGGTCCAGGAGCATGGGCCCCCTGTCCTAGGGGCCGTGCCCTGAGGGGCCCTGGAGGCTTCCAGAGGTCAGTCTCTGCACCTGGGCTGCGGGGTTGTCCGTCCGACAGTGAGCGAGGCTCACCCGGTGCCCCAGGGGGGAGAGCCCCTGTTCACTAGAGGGCTTCAGTCAGACCCGGGGCCTCCCTGAGACTGGGGGGAATGTGCCTGACCGGACGGGTATTCCTCACTCAGACAAGTGCGGCAGCAGCCACATTTCAAAATAGCAGCCAGGCCAGGTGGGGCCCAGCCCCAGGCTGCCCAGGACCAGGCTCTTAAGGAGCCCTGGAAGCAGACAATGGCCCGCCTGGGTCAAGGTCCAGGGGCCACCTGCAGACAGATGGCCGTGGTAGGTGGCAGGGTGCTGGGCCTGGGGGTGAAGTTGGGGCATGGGCTTCTTGTCCAGGGGGGCCAAGGTACTTAGTTGTTTATCCACTGGGGCAGGGTGGGCTGGGGTGAAACTCTCGTCTGCCCCTCAGCCCTGACCCTGAGGTAAGGGCCACATGGCAGGTGGGACCCAGAACAGGGCCAGAAAGGGGTTGCGGTAGGCAGGCAGCAGTTGGGGCTGAATCTGGAAGGGCAGGGGCGGGGCTTCTTGGTCTCTTGCCCCTAGCCACAACCACCGCCCCCTGCCCCCACCAGCGTGGGGCCCGGTGTGTGCCCACCCTGCCCGGAACCTGGAAGGGGTGGGCTGAGGCTGGGAGAGGCGCTGCTGCCCTGGGGCTCACGGCCCCACCCTTGAGGCTCTAACTTTGGGAGGGAAATTCACCCCCCCAGCCCTGCAACCAAGAAACGCCAGCCCTCCTGGGGCAGCTGGTGTCCCTGGGGAGGGAGGGGCTCCCACCTGGTCTCTTCTCTGCCCTGAGGAGCCAGGAGATGGGGGTGAGGGTCCATAGCAAGCCAGGGGTGCCAGCCTGGGTGGGGGCTCCAGTTCTGGGTCAAGCCCCCCAGCCCACTGCACCCCCAGAAGAAAGGTGTTTTAGCAGCCTGGCCTGCACTCCCCGCCCGCTCCCTGGCACCCCAGTCTCCCCATCTTGGGAGCCTGGCGCTCACTGTGTGCCCTGCCTGCCCCACAGGAGTTTGAGAATGCCGAGGGGGAAGAGTCCTCGGCCGACTTCTCGGCGCACAGCTCCCCGGCAGCAGTGGCTCCGAACGGGCCCGACGTGTATGTCCTGCCACTCACGGAAGTCTCCCTGCCCGTGGCCAAGCAGCCGGGGCGCTCAGGTGAGTGGGCCCCGGTAGGCCTCCGTGCTGGGCATAGGGCTTAGGTCGGGGGTCAGGCCTGGCTTCCTCACCCAGCAGCCACTGCTCCCAAGGAGGGCTGACAGGGCTGGTGGGGCCCCTTCTGCTGAGACCTGAGGCACTGTGAGCAGGCCTGTGGAGGGCCCTCGACTGCCACCTCCCCTGCCGGAGGGGCTGCTGCAGGGAGGGGCGGTGACAGGCACTGGCGTATGGGTCGCCCACTCTGGTCTTGTGATGGGCCATCCATTCTGGGGGGAGGGGCTCCTCTGCTCTTCCCGCCTGCTTGACCCCAGACACCTCCCTTGGCGCCTGCTGGCCATGCAGGAACATGGGATCCATTGTGCCCAGTGGGCAGGACCCACCCACTTGGGGGGGGTCTTTGGGCTGCCCCTGTGGGCTGTGAATGGGCCTTTCACGCAGGACCTGGGGCAGGAGGGCCAGTCCCACCCACACATGCTGGGCAGGCAGGGGCCTCTTCCCATAGCTTCCTTTCCATGCCTCCCATTCTCCCATCCTGGGGTCTCCCACCAGCCTGGCTGCCCACAGCTTGAGATGTGGTGCCCAAGCTCGAGAGGTTATGGCAGGGCTCTGGAGCTGTTCTGGGGCCTGGGGAACCCTGGGCCGTGGGCTGCTTCCCCACGTGGGGCCGTCTGATCTCAGGCCGCCGCACCAGAAGCTCCTAGACCAGGCTTGTGCCATCCCCAGCTCTTGCAGGGGCACTGAGGGAGGGTGACAGGCCCAACCCCCTGCTTCTGTCCCTGTCCACTGTGATGCCCGCCCTGGAGCCAGCCTCAGTCATGGCCTGGGGGGCCCAAGGCACTGGTCTGAGCCTCCAGAGCAGGTTTAGTGGGCCACTGGCTGCCAGCCCCAGGGCCCAGGGCTGCGTGGGTGTCACCCCTACCCACCAGCCAGTGTCTCTTAGGAGATGTCACCTGCTAGGCAGGAATCAGGTGGGGCTCGAAGGCATCTGTCCACTGGCCCCAAAATCACCCCGTAAGACCTTGAAGGTGGGGCCTGTGCTTCCTGGATGACCATGCGGGTCTCCGCCTGTGCTGACACTGCTGGACACTGGGAGCTGGTGGAGGTCAGGCCCGCCCCAGGACACCATGCCCCTGGCCTGGGCCTTTTACCTCTGGGCAGTGTGTGCCTCTCCAGGGCTGCAGGGAGCTGCCTGGGGGGAGACGGGGACGAGGAACAGGGAGAGCTGTGACCGCCATTCTCTCCATTTTGCAGCCCTGGTCTGTTTCCTGTAGGGCGCCCTGCGTCCAGGGAGGGGGAGACAGGGGAGTGATGCTGGGAAGGTAGCCCACCTAGGGGTCAAGGGCCAAAAGCCCAGGCAGTAGGTGCCAGCACTCAAGACTGTGGAGGAGGTCAGCACAGCCAGGCCTGGTCTCTAGGGTCCCCAGCATGGCTCTGTGGGCGCCATCCCCGGCGGATCTAGGCATTCCTGCCCAGCCTCCGTGCCTCCTGCAGCCAAGAGGAGGCATTCCTGCTGGACTGGCAGATGGCGCCCTCCATCATGGCCCCGGTGTTCTCTGTCAGGACCCCCAACTGCTCAGGCAGACCCCAGATGGGCCGGTGGGGGGCCCAGGAAGAACTCCAGGACTCAGGGACAATGGGACCCCCACCCGAAGTCCTGCTCATCATCAGGGTCGAAGTTCTCTGGTCTCTGGTCCCTGAGAGCAGCCCCTGGCCCTGGCTCTCCTGGCAGCAAGCTCGGCCTGTCCCCTCGGCCCTCCAGGCAGCTGGCGTGGGAGCAGAATTCGGGGAATCCCTCGGGGCGCAGGCAGGGTGCGAGTGGGTTCAGCAGCCCTGGCCCTTGCTCTGGGCCCCCCTGACCCCTCCTCCCCGCCGACTTGCCCAGCCCAGCCTGCAGGAGAACGGGCCCAGTGTGCTCCGTGCGGGGCTGTGCCAAGCAGCCCCCAACAAAGGCGCTTTGGTGTGCTCGGTTCTGGAATGCCAGCCTGCGGCAGGGGTGAGGGACGGGCCACCCCAGTGCCCTCCTCCTGGTGGCCTTGGCTCCAGCCACACTGCCTACCAGGCAGTGCCCACACAGGCCCAGCTCCAGGCCCTGCTGTCTCCAGCCTGACTTGTTCCTGTAGCTAGGGGCACAGCCTTCCCAGACCCACCCAGAAAGATGCCCTGGGCAGCAGGTGCCCTACTCCTGATGGCAGCCCCCAGGTGTGGCCCTGGCTCTGGGGGTCTCAGGGTGGCTCCCTGGAACAGGCCCAGTGGCCAGCCCCTCGAGGGGCCAGGTGAGGGGAGCAGGGTCCCTGAGCCCCCTGCCCTGTTACAGTGCAGCTGCTCAAGTCCGCAGACCTGGGCCGGCACAGCCTCCTGTACCTGGAGGAGATCGGCCACGGCTGGTTTGGAAAGGTGAGTGGCCGACCCTGGGTGGGGAGGAGCTGGGAACATGGGCCCCTCTCTTTGCCCAGCAAGCAAAGGGGGCAAGTGGATACCTGCTTCTCCTGAAAGCCATTCTGGCCCTGGGGTCCCCTCCCCAGGCCCCTACCCTGCTGAGCCCCTCCCGGAGGAACTTAGGGTCTAGCGGTCCCTTCTCTGCAGGCCTTGGTATCCGATGCTTGGAGGGGCCTCCAGGGGCAGAGGGCAGGGGCAGCAGGGAGCAAGGGCTTCGTCCCGGCTGCGACCGGACCCCCAGGCCGGGCAGGGCAGTCAGTCCCTCGGACTCACTGCAGATGCCCAGAGATTGCCAAAAGGGGGACCCTGAGAGACGGCAGAGGTCCTTGGGGGTGACGAACACCAAAGACAGACAATTACAGCCAGGAAGGGTCCCCGGGGGGGTCCAGAGCCCATTCTGCAGAGTAAATTAAGACACAGAGAAGCGCCTTGTTCTGGGTTCAGGAGAGGCAGAGCGGGTGGGACGACAGCCTCGTGGTGACGCCGCCCCCGCAGGTGCTCCTCGGGGAGGTGACCTCGGGCATGGGCAGCACCCAGGTGGTGGTGAAGGAGCTGAAGGCAAGCGCCAGCGTGCAGGACCAGATGCATTTCCTGGAGGAGGCGCAGCCGTACAGGTGGTGGCATCTGGGCGCAGGTGTGGCTGGAGGAGGGGGCGGGGCCGGGGAGGTGGGCGGTGCCTCAGGGCGAGGCCGTGGACACAAAGGCAAGCTCCGCGCTGCCCTCTGCCCCTCCCTAGCCCCGCAGAGCCGCCCCCTCCCCGCCCCCCACACCCTCCTGCCCCAGGTGTGAGTGGGGGGGGTGGCCTGTCGGCTCCCGCAGGGCCCTACAGCACAGCAACCTGCTCCAGTGCCTGGCCCAGTGCACCGAGGTGACCCCCTACCTGCTGGTGATGGAGTTCTGCCCCATGGTGAGTCGCCACTCCCTGGCCTCTGGCCGCTCTGCCCTGAGCTGTGCAGCAAGGGAAGGAGGGCCCAGCCTCCACACAGGGGCCTTCGCTGAGCTGGGGACCCCTTGGCCCCATACTGCGGGCCTCATATGCCCCCTAAATTGGGGTTCAGGGATAGCCTTAAGGGAGGAGGTGACCCTGCTCAGTGGAGACGGTGGCCGTAGTTGCTGGGCTCTACCCGCATCCTGGGGAGGGGCCCCGCTGCCTCCTTCCCCGGGCTGCTCAGCACTGAGGCAGTTTTCCGGAGAGCCCCTCACATCTGTTCCTCGCTTCCACGGCCTCGCTTGGCAAGGTTTAATCCTGGGGCCTGTGACTGTGCCTGCAATCTGCCTCCTCTGGGCCCCGTCCCACACACACAGCTCAAGCACTGAGGACAGGCACCCATGGTCAGGTTTCTGGACTCCTGGCCACAGCCATGACCTTCCAGGGCCTCCCCAAGACAGCTGGGCCCTCCCTGGAGCTGGGCAGTGTCAGCAGGGCAAGGAGTTGCCAGCTGACCCTCCCATCACCTGCCCTGGGTTCTGTCCAGCTCTGAGGTGGCAAGCATCTGAGCCCCAGTGATCTGGACACAGGATGTGGCCCTGCAGGACTGCCTGGGTCCCTGGGGGCGGTTTGGACAAAGTGTCCTCTGCCTGTGGGCTGGTGCTGCCAAGAGCTGGCCGCTGGGTGGCGGGCGCAGTGGCTCCACTGGGCAGCTGCAGCCCTGTGGCTGTTAGGAGGACCCTGGGGATGGAGAGACAGGGCAGGGGGCTTGGACAGGTGCCTCCTCCCCTCCAGCCAGTGACGGTGTTGCCCCTTCTGCAGGGGGACCTCAAGGGCTACCTGCGGAGCTGCCGGGTGGTAGAGTCCATGGTACCTGACCCCCTGACCCTGCAGCGCATGGCCTGCGAGGTGGCCTGTGGCGTCCTGCACCTGCATCGCAACAACTATGTGCACAGGTGAGGGCGAGGGTGGGGCCGGAAGCCCAGGGGCAGCCTCTGCACCTGCAGAAAGGGGCACCAGTGATTCCTGCCTGGGCTGTGTGGGGGGTTAACCCAGTAAGTCTCTGTTCAGCTCCTAGGGACCACCGCACAAGGGAATTTCATTAAATAAAAGCCACCAGGCAGATGGTGGTTGGACACATGCTTCTGCGGGACGGTTAGATGAAGCAGCTGGCCTGGACCCACACGCAGCAGGGCCCAAGTCCACCCTCTGTCCCCTGGTGGCCCCATACTGGCCCTGTTCTCTGTTGCCCTCAGGCCCGGGGTGGAGGAGGGATGGCCTGCCCTGCTTCCTGCCCTGGCCCCTGAAGTTGGAAAGATGGCCAAGGTGCTGGCCTGGGGGATGTGCCGGAAGAAGTAGCCACGGATGAGTGGCCTGCCAGCCCCCGACGCCACCAGGCTGTCCTCCCCAACAACATCCTGGTGCTGAGTGATGACGCACACAACTCCAGCATCAGTGATTTTGTTGAAGAGGGCTGCTGCCAGCCTACTGACCTGCCCACTGCCCGCCCAGTCCCACTGCGCCCACAGGTGCAGGCCCGTCTGGGCCCCAGCACAGCAGCGGCATGGCAGCTGGGTGCAAACCCCTCGTTTGCCCTCATGCCCTGTGCCCCCAGACACCCATGTGGCCACCAGGCAGGAGATGGGCAGCCTGAGGCTGGCTGCTGGGTTGGAGGTAGTGGACAGGGTAACCCTCATGGCTGCGGGCAGACACTGCACAACCCCACCTGCCCTGGGACACAGCATCAGCTTCCCCACTGCTGCCTGCCCCTCGGAGAGCTGGGAGTGACGGTGTACTGGGCAGGAGGGAAGGCTGCCTGTCCCTGGCCTGCCTTGCCCCCTGAGGGGGTCAGCAGACTGGTGTGTGAGAAGTGGTGGGGTGCGTGAGCTGGGCTTGAGCGGCGTTCCTGTGACAGTGGGGCCTGCCCTTTGCTGAGCGCCCTGGGCCAGAAGCTATCCCTCTCTGGGCCTCGCTTCCCTTGTCTGATCGTAACACTTGAGGCTAGTCCACGTGACACAGAGCGCCCAGTGTTGGGTAGGGCTCTGGAGCTCTGGGCAGGGGAGGGTGGGCAGCCTTAGGTGCCCCTTCCCACGCCCCCACGCCCCGCTGCTGCTGATCCCGCCCTCCTGCCCCCAGTGACCTGGCCCTGAGGAACTGCCTGCTCACGGCTGACCTGACAGTGAAGGTTGGCGACTATGGGCTTTCTCACGGAAAATACAGAGTAAGTGGGCTGGGCTGGGCTGGCTGGAAGGCAGGGCCAGCCCCGGCAGCCTGGCGGGGTGACACTACCCCGCTTGCCAACAGGAGGACTACTTTGTGACGGCTGACCAGCTGTGGGTGCCTCTGCGCTGGATCGCGCCTGAGCTGGTGGATGAGGTGCACTCTAACCTGCTGGTGGTGGATCAGACCAAGGCCAGCAACGTGTGGTAAGCGTGGCCCGCAGCTGCTGCGCGAGGACGTGCCCCCCAGAAGGGGCTGTGCTCCTGCCTGCTGCCATGAGGCCTCACGGCAGCCCTGCGTAGCCCGTAGAGTGAGTCCACTGAGGACACGGCCCGCAGGCCTGCTGGCACCAGGACACTGAGTCCTACCTGCCAGCCTGGTCCCTTGTGTCGGAGGGCATGCAGGCCAGCTGCTCAAAGGCAGGCCGTGGTCTGTCGAACCACATCTCTGAATGAGGGGGCCAAAGCTGGCCCCAGGCGAGGTCATGGGGAAGGCTGGGGCCACCTGAAGCTGCCTGGTGTGGTGAGCGGGCCCTGCCCCTCTCACGACCCTCTGGGCCAGCACCACAGACCTCGGGCAGAGCACACATTCATGTCGGAAAGCCCACCTGGAGTGGCAGCAGGCTCTACTGCGGAGGGGTGGGGCCTTGGCGTGGCGCCTTTTGCTATGGAGGGGCTGTTGGGGGCTGGGGATCGCCTGTGACTACAGCCTGGAGGTACCCCGTCCTGAGTGCCTGGCCCCAGCAGGCACAAACTGGGCACTCACCCCCTGTACTGCAGCCACTGTAGGGTCCACCATGTTGAACTCCAGTCTCTGGCCTTGGCCAGCCTCTGCTTCCCGCTCCCACCTCCTGCCGGCACCCCCCCCGCACCCCCAGGCCTTTGTGTGGCCTCGCCGTGCTCCTGGTAAACCTCAGAGCCTGGCTCCACAGAGCAGCCCCACCCTGAGCTTCCCAGGGGGCCCTTCCGAGCCACTACCCTGTGCCGCCCCCAGAGAGTCCATTCCCATGCTGATCCAGTTGACCCTCACCCCATCACCCACCCTGCTGCACGAGGACTGGCGTCCCCTACATGGCTCTGGCCCAGGCCACCATGATTTCTCTGTTGCCAGATCTGCCATCCCTCAGGCCCCTAGTCTCCCGGGACAGCTGGGGGTCCCAAGGAGCTGGGTGAAGCCACTGATCACCGGGAAGAATTCCGTTGCCTTCTCCCAGCCCTGCACACTCCTGTTGACTTGCCTGACCACTGGCCCCTCATTGCTGGGCCTGGGTGTCCTTAGACTCACCCCTCCCTCCTTCCAGCCTCCACTGGTGCCCTGCGGACTTGGAGCTTGGCCAGGGCTTGGCCACACCTGGCAGTGTGTAGTCTTCACTCTGGCAAGGGAATGAGTGAATAGGCAAAGGGGCCTGGGTTTGTGGGTAGCCAATCTGTTTATTTGCCTGGGGATCCCAGGCACAGGCTAGGGCCTGGCCGGGGGCATGTACTGGCCGTTTACTGAAGGAAGGCATGTCTTTGGGAGGGGTGGCCCCAAGAAGCTGGTGTAATGATGGGAACCACTCCTTGGTGCCCAAAGTTCTGAATCCTCTGCAGATGTGCCATCTGCCAGCCCCCGTCTGATGGCCATCGCCCCCACAGGTCCCTGGGTGTGACCATCTGGGAGCTCTTTGAGCTGGGCGCACAGCCCTACCCTCACCACTCCGACCGGCAGGTGCTGGCCTACACGGTCCGGGAGCAGCAGCTCAAGCTGCCCAAGCCTCAGCTGCAGCTGACCCTGTCTGACCGCTGGTGAGGACCCTGTAATGCCAAGCTGGGATGGGGTGTCTGTAGCAGGAAGGCCAAGACAAATGGGTGGTGCCCTGGTCCCAGCAGTGACCTCTGGGCCCCACCTCGTGCCCACAATTGGAAATGGTCTCTACTCCAAACATAAACTTGCCTGCAGACAGGGCCCCGATGGGCTAAGGGAAAGTGCCCCACCCACTGCTTGCTCCCCAGCTGCTGAGCCCCTGGCCTTAATTAAGTGGGAGATTTCCTCAACTGCCCTCTAGGCATTCTGGATATGAGAAGGAGGGGACCCTGGACCTCCTGCTGAGGGCAGATGGCTAGCTCACTCCTGCAAGGCTTGGGGTCCTGCCTGGGTGGTGCCAGGGGGAGACTGGCATGGCCCGCGGGGCTGACCCTGGCTCCCCTCCCTGCAGGTACGAGGTTATGCAGTTCTGCTGGCTGCAGCCGGAGCAGCGGCCCACAGCCGAGGAGGTGCACCTGCTGCTGTCTTACTTGTGCGCCAAAGGCACCACCGAGGCGGAGGAGGAGTTTGAGCGGCGTTGGCGCTCTCTGCGGCCGGGCAGGGGCGGTGCGGGTCCCCCGCCAGGAGCAGGAGGCCTGGCACTGGGGGGCGCCGGTGAGCTCGCCGCCGTGTCATCCTTCCCGCTGCTGGAGCAGTTCGCGGGTGACGGCTTCCACGCAGACGGCGACGACGTGCTGACCGTGACCGAGACCAGCCACGGCCTGAATTTCGAGTACAAGTGGGAGGCGGGCTGCGGCGCCGAAGCGTTCCTGCCGCCAGGGGGCGCGCTGAGCCCGGGCCACGAGGTGCGCCGGCCGGAGCTCTGCGGCCCCGACAGCGCGCCCCCTGGCGTGGTGCCCGTGCTGAGCGCGCACAGCCCCTCGGTGGGCAGCGAGTACTTCATCCGCCTAGAGGAGCCCACCCCCACCGCTGGCCACGACCCCGACTGTGCTGGCTGCACCCCCAGCCCCCATGCCCTGGCCCCGTGCCTCAACAATGGCAGTGACCACGATGACGACTCTGATGGCAGCCTGGCCCCCTCGCTGGCCATGGAGCCCCTGCTGGGCCACACGTCACATGCTGAAGGTCCCGGTCCCTGGGGTCACTGCGACTACTACCCGTCCAGAAGCCACGCTCAGGACCTGCTGGGCCTGCCAAGCTCACCCTCGCTGGGAGCCCTGCTGGTGGAGCCTGCAACAGAGGACACTGACTGGGATGGGGCCACCTTCTGCTCACCTTTCCTGGAGGACCAGTTGGGCATGTCCTCCGGGAGCTGTGGGGCCCCCCTGTGTCTGGGCAGGGAGGCACATGGGGAGGCTGAGGTGCGCAAGGCCACCCAGCACAGGCACTGGAGCTCCGACATGTCTGCCAATGACGGTGGTGATGGGGCACGGGGGCCCCAGGACGCGGGCTGCTGTCCTGGCCTAGAGTGCACCCTGCGGGCAGCCCCCGAGGCGAGCCACCCCCTGGCCCCAGAGGATCCCAGAGAGCCTCTCCTTGGAGCAAAGGGAGCCTCCTCTGGCCAAGAGCCAGGCCGCTGCCCTGGCCTCCCCCAGCTGTGTCCTGCTGAGAGCCTGCCATCCGCCACCTGCCTGGTCGTATTGCCCCGGACAGAGGCAGCTGTAAGTGGGGGTGACAGCCCCCAGGCAGAGCCCAGGCTTGCTGAAGAGGCCGAGGGCTCTGCTGGACTCCAGCTGCCCCTTCCCTCCATCCCATCTCCATCCCAGGAGGGAGCCCCTCTTCCCGCTGAAGAGGCCAGTGCCCCCTCTGTCCTGCCAGCCACGCCCACTGGCAGCAGGTCGACTGCCACCAAGCCAACCCAGGCCCTGGAGACACCAGCAAGCAAGGATGGGGACACGGCGGAGGCCCCTTGCAGTGGCTTCACGGACTTGGCTACCAGTGGTTGGGAGTCCAAGGTGCCTGATGTGACGCCAGCCCTCCCATCCCAGCAGAAGCAGGTGGGCACCCCCAGTTCCCTGGACTCGCTGGACGTCCCGCACTCAGCCGGCGATGGCTGTGAGGTTTTCAACCTGTTGGCTGCCGGCCCTCCCAGTGGGCAGCCCCGAGCCCTGGACAGCGGCTATGACACAGAGAACTATGAGTCTCCTGAGTTTGTGCTCAAGGACGCACACGAGCCGAGTGACCCCGGGGCCCCAGAGGAAGAGAGCCTGGGGCCCGAGACTCGGCTCTGCACCTCCCCGGGCGGCCTCTGTGAGAAAAACCCCTACCGCGACTCGGCCTACTTCTCGGACCTGGATATGGAGCCCGAGCCCACCGCGTGCCCCGAGGAGAAGCAGGGAGTGGTCCCGGGCCCTGGGCCAGAGCAGGACCCAGTGTGCTCTCAGAGCTGCGGGCTGCAGGCCACACGGTCCTTCCCTGAGCCTGGGGCTGTGGAGGCGCCACTGCCACACCCGCTGCTGGGGGACTACTGCCCAGAGCCGCGTGCCTGCCCTCCCTGGTCCCAAGGCCCAGCCCAGGTGTCACCCATGCCCAGCCCTGGGCGCTCCAAGATGTTCCTGCTGACCCCAGTCCCACGGAGCTCAGAGAGCTGCCTCTTGGAGCTCCAGGAGGCCCCGGAACTGCTGCCTGGGTCGGCCCTGCAGGAACGGACGGGGGGCACAGGCGCCCCCAGAGCCCCACTCCTCCCAGCCCCGCCGGGGCTCCCCACTGCCCTGGAGGGCCGGCTGGAAGAGGAGGACGGCAGCGAGGACAGCGATGAGTCGGACGAGGAGCTCCGCTGCTACAGCGTCCAGGAGCCGGGCGAGGACAGTGAGGAGGAGGCGCCGCCCGTGCCCGTGGTGGTGGCCGAGAGCCAGAGCGCGCGCCACCTGCGCAGCCTGCTCAAGATGCCCAGCCCGCTGTCCGATGCCTTCTGCGAGGACTTGGAGCGCAAGAAGAAAGCCGTGTCTTTCTTCGACGACGTCACCGTCTACCTCTTTGACCAGGTGGGCGGCTGCCCGGGGTTCTCCCCGCGGGTGGGGAGCCCCCATAGGACGGGAAGGAGGGAGGGGCCGCTGCTGAGTACTGCTCTGACCCTCCAGGAAAGCCCCGCCCGGGAGCCCGGGGAGCCCTTCCTCAGCGTCAAGGACTCGCCCCCACTGTTCCTGGCCAGCAGCCCGGGCTCCCCCAGCGCCCCCGGCCGCCCAAGACCGGCTGACCGCCCCCGCGACGGCTCCGCGGCGGGAGAGGGTGAGCTAGGGGCGGGGCCTGTGGCGGCGCGGGGTGGGCGTGGCCTCGGCCCGTGGAGCCGGTGGGTGGGCGGGGCTGAAGGTAGTGGGAGGGCGGGGCCGCCCCGGGGCCTCGGACGCCAGTGACCGCGCTGCCGGCTCGCAGGAGGTTTCGGGTGGGATGACAGCTTCGCGCCAACGCCCGCCTCGGAGCCCGGCCCTCCGGCGCCTGCCGCGTCCCCCGAGCCGGCCGCGCGGGGCTCCTCGCGCTTCACAGTGTCACCCGCTCCAGGCTCCCGCTTCTCCATCACGCACGTCTCCGACTCGGAAGCCAGGCACGTGGGAGGTGAGGCTGCGTCGAGGCCGGCGGGAGGGAACACCGGGTCGGGACGGTGAAGACGCCGGCCAGGAGGGCACCTGCTGGGTGCAGAGGCCCTGTGCCCATTTTCTGTCTTCTGAAAGCAAGCTCAGTTTTCAGACGGGGAAACTGAGGTTTGAAGAGGGTGGATCACAGCCGGGCAGGTCTATCCCCGCCACTTTGGTGCGTGGTGCGCCTCCCTGCCTTCTGGGGAGATGCAGTGTTCCAGACACAGCCGACCTGGGACCTCCCTGGGCCAGGGCATAGCCTGGACACTGGCCCTCAGGCCTCTCCCTCTTCTCCCTCCTCTGGAGGCATCAGGCCAGACACTGAGCACCTCCGCCCCACTCTCTTCCTGGAGTTAGCCCCCCAAAACCAGCAGCCTTCTCTCACCAGAACCTTCTGAGCCCCTTTGGCCAACCTCACCTGTGTGGCCCCCCTGCCCCCCAGGCCTCCAACTGGGACCTGCACATATCCTCTGATGGCTGTCACCAGAGGCATGAGTGGTGGTGGCTGGGTGCCCAGGGCAGCCCTACTTGGGCATCTTAGCAGACCCAGGGCTGCCCCGCTGGCCTTGGCCTGTAGCTCCAGCCTCCAAGGAAGGACCGTGGGCCTCTCCCTGGTACCCAACACCCACCCTTACAGGACCTCTGCAGGCAAGCCATCTGGAAGCAAGTGTGCGGCCCTGGCCAGCCCAGCATTCAGTGTTCAGTCTCCCTGGCTGTCCAAGGAGGGCTCAGAGGGCGTTTGCCAAGCCTGTTGGCCTGGGCCCTGGTGGTGCGCTGGGAAGGGAAACGGGCCCAATGCCTGCCTAGAAGGCAGAGCTGCCACAGCCGGGGGCCTGAGGGCTGCAGCCCCAGCTACTCGGTGGCTCCGGGTCAGGTGGCGGTTCTGTGGAGGTTCTGTCCCCAGAGGAGCTCCTGTACCCCTGGCATCTCATGTGGTGCTTCCTCATTGCCAGGTGCAGGGGGCAGCTGTAAAGAGGCGTGAGGCCCAATTGGCCCCACCTGGGAGCCTCCGCTGGTCCTGCCCCAGGCAGCGTGAGGACGGCGACTCAGAGCTGGGACCTCGGTCCTGGCCGCAGTCAGCAGCGGCTTCCAGGCCCGTGGAGCCTCACACAGCCCTTTGGAGGCACAGGCTGGAACGAGGCCCCTCTCCAGCCCTGGACGGTGGAGTGGCCATGCGCACCAGCCCCGTGCTGCCCTGGGGGCAGAATCTGCCCTGGACATTGGGTTTGCTGCTGGCCCGCAGGGATGCCCTGCAGCCCCAGGCTGCCCACACCCCACAGCTGCCCCTCCACTCTGGACCCCCACTGTTGGACTGCTTGCCTTCCGAGGTGAGGGGGCCTCTTGGCTGGGGGATCCTGGCACACCCAATGCACTGGCTCCTGTGGTGCACTGCAGGATGCCCACCCCAGTGAGAGTGGGCCCAGGCCCACTGGGACGGCCTTCCCCGGCCCCTTTCATCCTTTCCGTCTGGGTCTGGGGTTGCTCAGTGTAGGAAGAGGACCCCAGCTTGTGTGCCCCTGGCTCCCTGCTCTCCTCACCCCAAGTCTGGCTCTTACTCCCCCCTCACTGACTCAGCCGGATCTGTGAACCCTCTTCCCCACTGGTCTCGGCTGCCTCCCATCTGGGTCCCACCGCTAGAGCCCAGGCTGATGGGCCAAGCTGGGGAGCCCACAAGATGAGGGGCTTCTGGGCCACACCCCTGCCACCTTGGCCCGGTTCTAGAGGGGCCCTCAGCTGGCTGGCGCAGGCAGCTCCCCTCTGCAGGGCACTGCCCAGCCTGGCCCAGCTGCCAAGGGAGGGCAGGCTCCTGCCCCCAGGATAGGACAGTGGGGAGGGCTGGAGCTGGGAAAAGGCTGGGGGGCAGGGCAGCACGGGGAGTATTTTTTTAATGGCTGGTGTCCACATGAATGGAAATGCGATGATTTAAGTTACTGCTGCCAAAGAGACAGAAAGGACATTGCTGCTCTCCGGTGTGTGGGGGTGCTTGTTTTAGGTTTGTGTCTTGTTTTTTATTAGTTTGAGGCTTAGGATGCTGGTGCAATGATTTTCCTGTTCCTTTTTTTTTTTTAAAGAGAAATCAAGCTAAGAAAAAAAAAAGCCTTCATGCTAAGCTTGTGTTTTCTTTTGGGTCTGCAGATAAGGCCCTGGGCAGGAGAGGGCATGGGCTGGGGTGGGGACCCAGCTGCCAGCTCTGGGTAGGGGTCACAGTGGGCCCTTCCTGATCACTGTCGGGGTGCTTAGCAGGGAGGTGGCTGCTTCCCCGCCAGGTGTCCTCGGCATGCCTTGGTGGGGGACAGTGGCCTGTGCCCCCATGGTACCCAGGTGGGGGTCTTCCCAGAGTAGGGAGGAACTGACCTCTGCAGCCCGCTCTTCCTGCCCCACAGCTGGCCCTGCCTGGGTAAGGATGAGGAAGGGGCCCACAGACCCCCCAGGACACTCTCCCCCTGCCTTTCCAGGGGGCTATGCCTGTCCCTGGCACAGGGGCAGCGGTTGGGGGTTTGGGGGGACGGGGGTGGGCCGAGGAGTCCAGGCTTCTGTGCTTCCCCTCCCCAATCATCTGCTCTGGGTCCTCGTCCCCACCCCCACACGGGCACCCCGGCCCCTGTGTTCCTTGTCCTGGAGCGTGGGCAGGCTTCAGGCAGCTTGGGGCCCCTGGGAGGCACACGCTCTGCCCGAAACTGTATTTCAGCTAAAACACCAAACAGCATGGACCCGATGATACACGTTTCCAAATCTTGTATTTCAGCAGAAGTACGGTAGCAGGCAGGACCCTGGATGGCGCACAGCCGGAAGATGCAGGCCGCACCACCAGCTGCCCACCCGGGGTCAGGGAGGAGAGCTGGGGAGGAGCTTGGGTAGGAAGAGCTGGGCTGTGGGGGCCCCCCGAACGCCAGGGGAGTGTGGGTGGTTATCAGAGCAGTAGTGGAGGCCGACTGCGAAGTCACGTGCTCATAAAAAATTCCTCTTGCAAAGAAAGGTGGCAGGCTAGTCCCACCCCCTCAGCTGGACAGGTCACAGAAAGGTGACCTTTCTTTCACTGACTGGACACAGGAGCTGTGAGCAGCATGGGAGCTGGGTTCTTCTCCCAGCTTGTCCTGACATGCACCCGGGGGCTCTGTGGCCCACATAAGCTGAAGCTTGCTGCAGGAGGCTGGCCCCACGGCCCAGCCCCTTGCTCTCCTTGGCCACAGCCCGTGCCCTCCCCGCTGGAACAGCCCAGGCTAGATGGAAGCGGGGCAAAGAGACAGCCAGGCAGGTGAAGGGCTTACAAGGAAGAGAAAGTTTTCTACGTGGGAACCATGTAGATCGTAATACAAGAGGTGACATGTAGGGGTCGGCGTGGAGGGGCCCAGGGGGCAGCAGGCGCAGAGGGCCATCAGCTGAGGAGGGGGGCAGACCTGTCGTTGGTCACTGTCGGCTTCAGCTGGACGCTGGTGAAGGGATTCCTAGAAGAGGGCAGAAAAGCAATTTTAGGACAGAGGAAAGGGGTATTTTGACCACCACCTGCCCTCTGCCAGGCACAGCCCCGGGGCAGCCTGACCCTCCCAGCTCAGAGCCTCAGGCTGCAGAGATGCTGGGGGGAGCCGATTTCTGGGTGTGGATGAGCACGGGCCCCCAATGTGCCCCCACCTCCAAGGGTCAGCCCTCCAGGCAGATAGGTGGGTGTGGGCAGGGGCCCCATCACCCTCCCCATCTTCCTTGGGGCTGGAGCCAGTTCTTTCTCAGTGACTCCAGGTGGTCCCAAACGGGCCCATATCCAAGTCCATGAGCCGCCCCAGGCCAAGGAGCCCACCTGCCATCTGCCCCAAAGCAGGAGCAGAGCATACTGGCGGGCACACATCTGTGGACACACAGAGACACAGTTTAGCAGCCCCACACATCCCAGATAATGGCCAGACACAAGACACAGGGCCTTGGCTTGCCCCACGCTGACACGACAGACACGAGGTACACGCACACTGGCAGCAACAGGGCCTGCAGGGGTGGGTGCCTGAGGCCCCTTGGCAGAGGAGCCACCCACCTCTTCAGTGAGGCTCAGCCCCCTGGCACCCCAGGGGAGCCACACCCGCACCTGTGTGCCAGAGGCCACCCATAGCTGACAGATAGATGGACTTGCAGACAAGAGGCTGAGATGGGACAAGATGAGCACAGCGTGGGCTGGCATCCGGCCTGTCCTTGTGGCAGCCTCTCCTCCTTGGAGGCCCTGCCTGGGCAGAACAGCACAGGACAGCAGGCCAGGGAACGGCAGGCAGCCCCAGCCTGGGGTGACAGCACAGATGGAACGTGGACGCGGTGGGCGTGGCATGGACAGGGCTGCATCCAGCGAAGAGCTCGGCTCTGGAGCTGTTACCTGGGGCGGGAGTCGCCTGGGGCCCATCAGGGCTGGTGTCACGGGAGGGCGGCGCTGCATCAGGGCTCAGGAGGAGTGCGTGCAGGGCAGGTGCCTCGCTGGGTTTTCCTGAGCATTGGGTGGTGTCTAAAAATGGAGACTCTTTGGACTGTTTTCACACGAGGAGCTGTGCGAGGAGGCCGGCCAGTCAGTGCGTGGCTCCTGTGTCTCCAGGGTGGCACTCGGGAGCCCGGCAGCACAGGCTGGCGTCTGGGCGGGCGCCTTACAGCCTCTGGATGAAAGGCCGCTTCGGGCCCCGCCTGGGGCTCGAGCTCGCCGCGCTGGGCTTCTTTTCCACTCGGATCTGTGCAGACAAGCTTCAGCTGCGACGGCCTTGGGCAGGGGCCACTGGGCTTTCCAAGGCCAGGTCCTGTGTGACCAGTAACGTTTGTCCCTGGGACGGGGGCTCAGGGCAGCCCAGCCCACGGTTGGGCCAGTCACTTGGTCAGCGACTAGACTCCAGTTCTGACTCTAGGCCTCGTTCCTTGGCCGCCCCCAACCAGAGTCAGGCAGGACACCCAGGGGACTGGGAATAGGGCACATTTGTCCACCTAGAGTTAGGGACGGAGCAGAGGAAGGAGTGGAGACCCTGAGCCCCAAAGGATGCTCCTGGCAGACCAGAGCGGGGCAGATGGCACAGCGGGTTTGGGCAGCAAGCACCTTACACTGCCCCCACATGCAAATGACCATCAGAAAGGGTTTGTGGCAAAATGGCACTCAGCCAGGGCTGGACTAGGGCTGCAGGGCCAGGAAGGTCTTCCGAGAGGGCACCTGGCCTCCGACCCGTTTTTTCCTTATGTCTTCCCCTGAAACAAGGTGACCGAGGGCTGCAGGCACTTGGGACCTTGCACGCAACTCCTTCTGCAGCCCCTCACAGCCCGGGCTAGAGACCCTAGGGGGGACATGCCCACCCCTCAGCACCAGACGAGCGGCCAGGGCCCCTCAGGCACCTACCAGCTCTGGAATGTTCTGTGAAAGAACAGGCTCGAGGGACAAAACAGGATAAGACCTGTCCTGCAGTCTCACAGCCTGTGGACACTGCACAGCAGGGGATGGCCCTCGGCCCAGGCTTCCTCCAACCTCAGGGCTGTACACGATGGACCCAAGCCGGTGCTCTGAGCCCACTAGAGGGAGGCACCCCGGCATCTGGGCACAGGGAGCCCAGGGGCAGAGGCTGCTTCCAGCGGGAGCGGTCCAGGCTCCTCTGGCCAAGAGGCTGCGTCAGGAGCTCCTGAGCAGGGGTGCTTTTCCGCAGGAAGTGGATCCCCACTCACGGCGTAGAGCAAGCCCGAGGTCCCCGCTGTGCTCAGGAGGCGTGAGCTGGGACCCTCCCTGGGCAGGCTGGCGGGCAGGAGGCTAAGGGCCGGGCTGCCCAGGGGTCATGCAGGCTGGGGGGGTCCCTGCACACCCCCTGCACCGAGGAGGGCTGGGCCCCACAGCCGGCCTCTTCAATCCCAGTCTCACGGCACATATGTCGCTGTGGATTTGGGGGAACTGTTTAGTATTAGTTCCTGAATCTACTACTACTTGAATGACAAACAGCAACTCTGAGAAGAGCCATGTGGTCACAAAGTGTGGCTTCCTTCCTTGGGCGCCTTCAGACCAGAGGGAGCGAAGAACAGCCACTGCACAGACTTCCACTTTCTCCGGAACTTTCTCACCTAAAACCTAAGTGGTTTCACACAACTTGAGAACATGGGCTCTTCTGGAACTGAGTCATTCTTGTTCCAGAGCATAAGCTCAGGGCAACACTGGGCAGGCCCCTCCCTGAACCCAGGTGGCATCTGACCCCAGCTGAATCGCTGGGCCAGGCAGCCATGTGCTCTGTACTCCAGGGGCTGAGCGCAGCCCTGGCTTGTCCGGTGCTCACGGCACCCTTGGGCTCTGCCCTACACAAAGTGTTCCCAGGCAGGGGCGGAGCTGGCCGCCAGAGCCGTCGGCCCTTCCAGTGCCTGTATTGGGCAAGGGCAGCCACCAGCTCGGAGCCACGGGGCAGACATGGGGGCTGTGCTGGGCTCAGGGCAGGGGGCAAGGCCTCACAGAGAGCGCCGTGCGAGGGGAAGGACCTGGAGGCAGGGGAGGAGGGTGGCCCGCGCCAAAGGCATCTCTACTGTGCCTCCATTTCAGGAGCATTTGTCTCTAGAACTTTCCAGAACTCACACCAGAGCTCCCAAACAGAAAGGCAGTGAAAGCAGAGTGGGAGCCCAGGGTCTGTGGAGCAGCCCCACTGCCCTCATAGGATGGCATCTCTCACCCCCAAGGGGGCGAGCTCCTCTGACTGGGCTGGTGGCGGGCACAGCCAGGCAACAGGGCCACCTGGCCCAGGCACAGGGGCCTGAAGCGGCAGGTTCCCCTCTGCCAGCTGTCAGTACCTGCTGTCCGAGTGCTGAGGGGAAGGGGCCGTCACTGAGCTGGGTCGGCAGAGGTCAGCAAGGGCACCCACAGGTGGGGGCCAAGGGCCGCCCGTGCTCTGGGCAGCCTGCTGCAGCCCCTGTGCCCCGTCAGGGCAGGGATGGGGTGAGCGGGGGCAGAGGGCCAGTAGAACCACCCCACGCCCTGTCCCCAGTGGGGCAGACATGTGCTCCTGCTCCAGTTGGGCCTGTGGCACTCACCGGGCACAGACCCGGGACCTGTCCCCAAGACCCACTGAGGGGCTGCGGTACTCACTGACGCAGGAGCCGCCAGGCCAGGCAGGGCTGGTCCAACGGGACACTCAGCCAAAGGAGCCCAAAGCCGCCTTGCAGCTGACCGTGGGGCTCGCCCTGACTGTGGCCGAAGTGCCAGCAGGGGCAGGAGAGACATGCAGAGAGAGGCCAGGGCCAGCCCGCGCCCAGCAGCGGGTGGTGCAGTGGCCGCAGGGCGGGGCTCACCCACAGGTTTCCAGGCAGGAGGAGGAAACCCAAGAGCCCAGGGCGCGATTCCAGGAGAAGCAAGGCTAGGAACCCAGAGCAGACACCAGCCTGGAGGGCCCCCGGGCCACACCCCGCCTGTACGGGCTGACGCCAGAGGATTCCACAACCCCTGGGAACGCACACCGGCCAGCACCGAAAGCCAAGGCGACTTACTAACTAATCGGGGCAACTCACAATCTGGCCAATTCCACATCCGCGCAGCGAGGGGGCACAGGGCTTGGTTGGTGCAGGTGGCAGGGACAGGCGAGGCCCGAGGGCTCGGAGGGCACGTGCAGGCTGGCTGCAGGAGGGGCCGCCTGGCAGTGGTGCATGCTGGCACGGGCGTGCGCCGCCACCACAGGGCAGCAGCTGGCTCTCCCGCTCCAGGACGGTGCCCCAGGACCAGGCCCGCACAGCCCCACTCTCAGCCAGGGAGAAGGGGGCAGGGAGAGCAGGGTGGGCCGCCCTGTCTGCTCACCGAGGGAGGGGCCTGGCTGTGGCATAGCCCAGATGCCAGATGCATGCGGGGGCTGGAAGGAGGCACCACACCCAACTCAATGCAATAAATAAAACTTTTATTCAAACAACTGCAGTACAGGGCGCAACTCAGATTAAAAAAAAGGGGGGAAAGAAAACGGGAAAAATATTTTCAGCACTTTACATCTTCATACAAGTTTTGCATCTACATTCATCCATTGAGCATGGAATCCCCTGGATTTGAGATCTTTTAGCAAAATTAGACCAACACAGAAGGTTCTTTTTACATAGGTCCGTGTTCTGGCTTTGTGTTTTGCTTAAATATAAAACTAGGTCTGTCTTGAACTGCTTCTCCCACAAACACTACCAGCCACATCCTAGGCCACGGCAGGGTGGGCAGGAGGGTTTTGCTAAATCGCATCAGAAAAAGGAGCACCCACGGCTCCCCAGGGGCTCCCACGTGGGAAGGGCCGGGCGGGGCCGCGCCCTCACCCACTCCCCAGATTCAGGGTGTGAAGAGGCGATACCAGTAGCCACTGAGCCCAGCATGTCTCTTTCTGAAGTCACCAAGACACACAAAAAGACAAGAGCATTTAGGGAGGACGGGGCAGGGACTGCCTGCTTGCCCCTGGGTGGCAGGCTGGGGCACTTGCCCCAAGCCGCCCTCCCTGGGGCCAGCCTTGCCAGGCCCAGCCACATGCCCCTGCCCCATGCAGCTGGGTGGCCACGACCCCCTCACGAGGCTGGCTAAAGCAACGATTTTCAGAACACGTCAAAGGAGGGTGGTCCCTGGAGCTCTTTGGAATGTCCCAGTGTGGCCGGGCAGCGCCTGCTCCCAGGCCCTCCCCGCCAGCACGCTGTGTGAGGTCACATGCCCTGCTAAGAACGACGCCACACTGTGGTCTCTGTACACTGTCCAACAATGTGCAGAAGGAGCCCTCGGGAGCCTGGCCTGGTGGGCCGGGCAGGGCCAGGGGTCACGGCCTCCCTCACAGGAGCGGCCAGCTTCCTCAGGAGGCCCCCAGCTCGGCAGGAGCCCCTCTCAGTGCGGCCCTGAGCCCCGGAGCCCGGCACCCTCCCGTCCGACGTGGACACCAGCCTGCGCTGGGGGGTCAGATGCAGAAATGACAGCACGCACACCGCAGGCCATGCATGTCTGTTTTTTGTTTTTCAGGAAAAAAAGTCCTTTTCCTGTTTTTCGTCTTTTTTTTTTTTTTAGGGTTTTTCTTTTTCCTCAAACTTTAGACCTGGCTCACGGTGAGCCTTCAGAAGGGGACAGAGTATCATGACCCAGCAGCTGGGCGGAGGTGAGGGCACCTCCCAGCTGCCTGGCGGGCCACACAGGCTGGGGCGCGCTGACACAGGGAGCAGAGACGGGGCAGCACCATGGACCCTGGGGGATCGCAGAGTCTGGGGTCACCAACCAGAAGGCGGGGGGCACGTGGGAAAGAAAAATAACCCAAGAACAAACCAACAAGAGCTGCGGAGGAAACCAGACAGGTGGGGGGGGGGCTCCGAGCAGCAGCTGCCCATGGTCAGCGTCCTCACACTGTGGACACCAGCGTGCCACTGCCGCTGTGAAACAAAGCACAGGACAGCTGCCAGGCCGCACAGCTCCCCCACAGCAGCCCTGTCGGCGGCTCAGGGTCGGTGTCAGCCAGGCTGCCCACCCCGGACGAGGCCAGGTCTGGGCGAGCCCAGCCGGGAGCCAGGAGGCCCCAGCCACCCACACCGGCCCGGGCTAGTTCCGGGGAGACAGCCCAGGGGCAGACAGGTCCCCTCCTGGCTGAAAGGGGATGAAGAGCGGGCACAGAAGAACTGGGCCTAGGGGGCTCCAGCTGCAGCCAGGTGTAGCCCAAGATGGGAGCTGCCAGGGGCTGGAGAGGGTCCGGGCTCCGGCCAGGGCACCCTGCTCTCAGAACCCCATCCTTCAGAGAGGGCTGGGGGCTGCAGGGTGAGGGGCAGAGAGAACAGGCACCCAGGTCCCACATGCCCTGACCTGGAGTGTAGACCACAGTGTCCAGCCAGGCCCCCATGGAGTAGGCCGCAGAGGGCCCCAGAGAGAACTGCACCCTGCCCCAGCCTCCACTGCAACCACTGCCCACCTGCCCACAGCTTGGAAGGACGCATCTGCAAGTCCCTTACCTGCTCACAGCCCGTGCCCCGTAGTCATCCAGCCCCTGTGGAGGAAGGGTGGATACAGGTCAGGCTGGGGTCCCCGGGCACAACGGAGCCAGCAGGGCAGAAGCAGGCTGGGCAGGTGCCCCTCCGGTCCCTGGGGTGTGGGTGCCATCTGCAGCTGAGGGCATGGGGCTCTCTCACTTGCAGAGTGGTTATCTCCCAAATTCACAGGGATACCTCCCTGTCCAGTGGCCACCTGTGGATTATGTGACCTCACATTCATGGGCAGAGTAAGACAGGTCACCTGACAGCTCCCGCCACATGCACCTCCCATGGCAGTGGTGGAGCAGCTAGGCAGGTGAGGTGGGGGCGGCCTGGCGGTCTCCAGTCTCACAGCAGGGGCAGAAGCCTCCCTGGAAACCCCACGTCTGAAACCAGTGGTGTTTGCAGGTAGGGGCAACAGATGGGTGGGGAAGCTGGGCTGGCAGGGGACAGCTGCAGTGGGTGGTCATTTACGGGCCTGCCTGCAGAAGACCAGGGCTGCCCCTGGGCAGAGCATCACCCTGAGCCCCAGCCCAAGCAGCTGCCTCTTCCGGGCTGGGGGAAGGTAGGAAGGGCAGCCCTGGGTGGCGGTGGGCAGAGGCCTGGCCCAGGGCCACCACGTGCTGTTGCGGACACCCTGCTCAGCTGTCCCAGCACCAAAACAGATGTGGGGACTTGGGGGGGGGGAGTAGCACAGTGGTCGGGCCCCAAGGACAGGATGCAGTGTCCCTGTGCCCAGCAGGCTGTCTCCTGGCCCCACTGCTGCCCTGGGCACCAGCTGCACCTTACCTCTTTTAGAAATTTCCACCCAGGGGCCCAGCTACGGCCCCCTGATTTTGCCCACCTCACCCCTTGTCTCTGAACAAATGTTCACACTGCCTGAGCCCTCAGCCCTTCCCACAGGGCCAGCGTGCTAATCTCTCCTTGCAGGTGGGACGAGGCAGGCAAGGCTGTTCAGGACCAGGAGGAAAGAGTGAGTCGCTACCAGGACCCAGAGCCTTTCTCTGGACCTTGCCCACCGCCGGCCCCTGTGTCCAGAGCAGATGAACGTCTTGGAAGCCCTAGCCCTTCTGACCCACAAGCCTCCTGGGTGGAGCGGTGCGGGACCCAGTGAACACGCTCTGCCCCGCCCGACCCCAGGGCCATGTGCTGCAGGGGCTCCGTCAGGGGACCGCACCCAGGGCCCAGGCCTTGGGCTTCTGCCTCTGGCCGCCCAGCCTGGGTGGCCTGACCACACACACCGAGCCCTGCCTCCTAAGGGACTCAGAGGCACACTAATGAGTAGGTTCTGGACATGTCCAGGGCCCTGAGGGCAGGCACACAATTGCTCCTTGGACCCAGGACTGCAGGAACCCCGCGCTCTAAGGGAGGGGCTCCTGGACACAAAGTCCTCCCTGAGGCCCAGGCTCCTCCCAAGAGGCGACGCCTCAGCCTGAGAGAGGGGCAGGAAGAAGCCCCCGTGCCTTCTCTAGAGCCCTGAGTCTGTGGAGGGCACTTGCCAGTGACCCGGGAGGTGGGTGCGGCCAAGGCATGGGTGCAGGGCCCAACCCTTATGTCCAGGCCGACCGAGCGTCTGCCGTTCAGGAGGCGCTGAGGTTGGGCTGCAGCCGAGCCCACCCGTCAGCAGCCCTCTGCTGGCTCCTCTGCTGGCACTCACCTGGGAGAAGGCGGGCACAGCCACGCTGTAGGGCCTCTGCTTGAAGGTGCCAGCCGTCTGGGCGGGGAAGGCGCGGGAGGATGTGCTGTAGTCGGGGGGCGGGAGGGCCGGGTCCTCCTTGTCCAGCAGGTTCCCTGTGCTGCTGCTCTTCCCCTGCTGCAGGCTGAGGGGCAGGTGCTCAGGACAGGCCCCCTGCCCAGGGCCCGCCCGCCCCCAAGAGCGCTGCCCAGGAAGCTGCTCCCAGGGGCCGGGCTGCAGCCACGCTGACCCCTTTGTCTCCCTGCCTCCTCAGGACCCGGCACAAAGGCGTGGCAGGGAGGGACTCCAGAGCCTGTGGCCTGGCTGAGTCCTGCAGGGACCCAATCCTCCTGGCAGCCACACTGCCCCTCTGTGGCTCCAGCCACAGGACCAGGAGGCTCTGGGGAACTTGTGGGAGGCAGCTGGGCTCCCACATGCCCTGCTCACAGGGGCGTGCTCCCAGAGACCCCACAGGGTGCTCAGACCCCTTCCTCGCAGTGCACCCAGGGGCTCTAATGTGCAGTAGGCTGGGCCACTGGGGCAGCACTGCAGGGCAGAGGGGCCATAGCCCGGCCAGGCTTCCTGTGCCGAGGGCCTGGGCTGCTCTCAGAGGGTACGTGCACAGCTTCTGTTCTCACGGCAGCCCCCCCTCCAAAGCTAAGGGCCAATGCCTGGGCTGGCAGGCTCACCTCATGTGCAACCTGTCACTGCCATCACTGTCCAGGACCCGAGTGTAGGAGAAGGGAAACCAGCCCCGCCTGAAAGAGAAGACCCAGCTGAGGGCTCGCCCAGGCCCCTGGCACAGCCTGGTTGCATCTGTCTGTTGGGGAGGCAATGTGGGCACTCCAGGGAGACCAGGAGACCCCAGTCTGCACCCAGGGCTCTGAGCCACCCCCCGCCACCCCACATACCTAGACAGGAAGCCACACACCCACTGGCAGGGAAGGTGGACATGCCCAGTACACAGACAGACAGACACACCCACAGACACACCCACGCAAGCCCCAGCCCAGGCTATCCCGGCTGGAAGCCCCCGACAGGACTCAGACCTGCCAGAACACCTGCGGACTGCAGGGCCGAGCAACTGCGCCTCTGTGCTGGGATGGGCACTGCCCACAGGTACTCACATCTTGGTCTTCTCACTCTCGCCATAGTGCCAGCCATCACGGGCCTCAGGCACCAGGAGGGTGATGAGGTCGCCCTCCTTGAAGCTCAGCAGGGTGCTGTTGTCCCCAGCCGCGTGGGAGAAGATGGCCTTCACCCGCATGCGGCCGTTGCGCTCCAGGCCAGCTGCCATGGAGCTCGAGCGGGGCAGGGTCTTGTTCTCGGCTGTCAGGACAAGGGGGCAGGTGTGAGGGACGCTGTGCCCCTCCTGCCAGCTCAGCTGCCCCATGGGAAGACTCCAGAGGCCTGAGTGCGGACTGCCCGCCAGGCTCCAGGGCGGTGCGGCATCAGGGTCTGGAAGGGCCTGGGCGCCGGGGAGAGGATCCAGCCACAGACCCGCCCTTCCTCAGCTGGGGCAGTTCTCTGGGCCTGGGCCCTGGCGTTCCCATCTGCCAGGCAGGAGGCCCTCTCAGGCGAAGGCCCTGGTGGGGCTGGGCATGGAGGGAGGATGCCGCCATGGCAGACGGGGCTGTGCCATGGCGAACAGATGCCTCCTGAGCACTGCCCATCTGTGCTCCCGTCACGGGCTGATCTGAGGGCAGCCTGGCACTGCCCTCCACGTGCCAGACACTTAAAGGGGGAGCCAAGTAAAGCCAGAGGACCCAGCATGGAGACCTCAAAGGGGCCCCAGAGTGCTGCCTTGGGCCCCCCAACCCCCCTCGGGGCGGCACTACTGCTGCGGGCCTCAGGGCGTCTGGGGCCCAGCCCGGCCCCGCAGCGCCCTTACTGGTGGCGTAGCTGCTCTTCGGGGCCACGCTCTTGCGCACGGGGAGCGTGTTGGAGTAGGAGTCGCTCAGCTTGCTCTGGGCCTGGGGAGGAGGCGAGGCCTTGGTCTGCGTGGCCTTGCGGTCGGCCCAGGGGCTGTAGTCCTCGCTGTCTGGGCCAGAGACACCGTTCATGACTGGTGTGTTCTCCTGGGCAGACAGTCGCTGTCAAGAAGAGGCAAGGACGTGGTATTGCAGGAGAGGCCTGGCCCAGGGAGACCAGCATGGAGAGCCCCTCGCCCCCCGCAGGGGCACCCCAGCTGCACCAGGTTGGTGCACAGGCGGACCATCCTCCCACACCCATAAGGCTTTCTAGAGGCTGAGAACTCACCCCCACAAATGGGGCCAGCTCAGGGGGCACTGGCAGTGGCTTAGCCCCAGGAATGGGGTCTGAGATGACCAGGTTGGACTTGGACGCTGACAGGGCACTGGGGAGGATGGAGCCATTGCTGCTGGCCATCTGCTGCATCAGCTGCACGGCGCGGTCCGGGATCTTGTTGGGGTCAGCACAGGCCTGCTGCCATAGGGGCAGCTTCTGCGCCAGCAGCTCCTTGCCCTGAAGCGGAGGAAACAGGACCAGACGGGAATCAGGGCCAGAGCCAGGCCCAGGCTCCCACAGCCAGGGGCATCCCAGGGGCTCTCCCTCAAGGGCCAGGAGAGGCCAGGGCCTGCTGCTGACCTCCTAACCATGCTCGCCTGGACATGGCGCCCTGGCCCCACCCTGGGAGGCACTGAGGACACACCCCACCCCAGGAGGTGCACCCCTGGCCCGCTGAGGGCCACTCATCACCAGAGGGTGACTCATAGCCAGACCTGAGTCCCTGGCTCCGCCCCAGAGAGGGGCTGCTGGGAAAGGAGCTGGTGTGGTGTGGTGTGCTGCGCAGCGCAGGAGCCACCCGGGATGGGAGCAGGCCCAGGCCACACCAGGGCAGGGCCTCGGCAGGACCCGGGGGGAGGAGAGGTGGCACGGCAGCCGGTGAGTCTGCCCAGGAGACCATGTGGTGCAGGATGGGGAGGGACAGAGCCTGGGGATGTGACAGGCAGTGCCGTTCCCGCCCACCACCCAGGGGCCTGCCTGGAACACCGCTGGCAGGATGGGCACAGGGATCTGACAAAGGACAAGGAAGCCACAGACCTGGTGAGGGGGTCCCAGGAGGGGGCTGTGACACCAGCCTAAGGCTCCCCACAGCCCACCCGCACGGGCATGCTCAGCGTGCCCTCCACCTCTCAGCCATTTGGCCAAAGTGGGCTCAGCGTGTGGTAGAGCCTTGACTTGGTGCCACTGCTCCCCAGCTGGGGCGCTCACTGTCCCCAGGACCTCTGAGGGGCTGCCCAGCCGCGCCACCTCTCACCACTTGTCCCACTTCTCCTGACCCATGCCTAGGCAGGGAGGGGGTGTCTGTGTGGGAACCTGGAGGATGCCAGACACACAGCACGCAGCAAGGCTGCGCCCCTCCACCACCTGCTGGTCTAGACCAGGGGCCAGCGAACCACAGCGGGAGGGCTGGCTGCCCACTTTGTGAGTGGGGGTTGAGTAGAACGGTCACAGTTGCTCATCTGCACTAAAGTGGCCACTTAGGCCCCGACGGGGACAATGCCAGGGTGAGGGTGTGTCCCCAGAGGGGCTCCACATCTGAGGCGACCCAGTGGGCGACAAAGACCCCATTGGGTGGGGACCCAGCGCCAGGGCAGTGCCTGGTGGCCTGCTGCTGGGAAAAGTCTGGGTCCTGCCCTGCACCTGGGGACCCAGCACTGGGGCTTGCGCCTCTCTGCGCCCACTAGGGCACTGGGCCCAGGTCTCTGCGAGGTTGGCTGTCACCTCTCTGGCAGTGGCCCTGGAGAACGACGGCTTTCCGCTCCGTCCCACCTAAGGCGGACAGGCGCACGCGCCCCCGGCCGGCTGCCGCCAGAGGGCGCAGGCGCCTCCGCAGCACCGCCCGGAACCGCGTGGGCGAGCAGAGCCCCTGCTGGAGCCCCGTGCTTGCTGGGCTGCGGCCCAGGCCAAGTGGAGGCTGCCCCCGCCCCCAGCTCCCGCGGGGGATGAGGTCCCGTCGCTGTCCCGGCTGTGCACCCGTGACAACGGGCTTGGGCAGTAGGAGCCTCTCTGGGAGGGGATGCCTGTCTGCGGCCCAGGCTGTGGGGACCAGAACCTCAGATCAAGCACCTGAGAGCGTGTGCCCTGCTGACCAGCAGAACCCTTCATGAAAAAAGACATGAACTCAGGCCTCCTCGGGCTCAGCTACCTAAGTACACCATCCAAGCTCTTGGAATGTTCTAGAGTGGATGGATCTAATCTCACCCCAGTTCCTGCCTGTGGACTGTGGGGAACATGGTCCCTCCCCGAACCTGCCTGTCCCCACGGGGGAGCCTGTGTCCTTCAGGTCTTGCTGGCTCTGGGGGTCGGGCGACCTCTGCGAGGGCTCCTGGCCCTGCAGCCGCCACACCGGGAGCTCAGGCCCCAGAACAGACCCTCTCTCAGCAGGCTGGCAGTGTGACTTGTCTAAAACGCACCTGCAATTTTTAGCAAGAGTCTCAAAAACAGTCACAGCCTGGTGGTTCTAGAACTCTACCTTTGGGGAAGTCTAAAATGCAAGGGACCGTTCAGCAATGCATGACTTCCTCACAGCCCAGGACCGGACACACTCAGGGGCCCGAGGGGCCGGCGCACCTTGGAGTGGTAGGCGGCGGAGTTCTTGGCCACGGCACACTGCTTCTCCACCAGGAAGCAGAACCTCCTCCTCTCCTCGGTGAGGGCGGTCTTGTAGCCATCGGACACGTAGCTCTCCAGCTCACCCTGCTTGCTGCTGATTGCGTCAATGTACTGGTGGGGGCGGGACGGGGGACAGAAAATGGTCACGCCCACTTCTGGGCAGCCCCACAGGAGGCGAGTGCCCCTCCCGGCCACTGTGCGCAGTGGAACTTGGCTGCGTGGCCCACTTAGGCCAACAGGATGCAGGCAGAGGTGATGGTGGGGCAGTCCAGGCCCCACTGTGCCTCCGTCCCCTGGGGGCTGTGTCCCCACGCTCCATCCATACCCCATGCTAGGGCCAGCATGTTCCCTGATTTTGCAGCTTGGAAACTTTCAGTAACAAAATGGCAGAAAGACCGTGGGCAGGCATCACGGGGTGGTAGGAGCACCCCAGACTCACACGGTCAGGGCCTGAGAGCCCCAGGCAGACACCCCCTGCCCTGTCAGGGTGTCTGTGTGGCTAGCTGCTTCAGAAGGGGGCTGCTTTGCTTCTTAGCACAGGAAGGCCCCCCCGGCCCTCTTCCCATCTCGACTCGCCTCCTGGCCCTCCTCAGAGCCAACCCACCCCCAACCCACCCCCAATCCACCGTCCACCCAGGTCCCAGGACCTGTGTCCTGAGCAGTTTTTTTGCAGCCGCAGGTTCCTCTCTGGGGCAGCCCTGGGAGAGAGGGGGTGGCCGCCCCACCCCCAGCTCTGACTCAGCACGGGTGGGAGGTACTGAGCTGGGGTGGGCAGAGCAGGCTGTGCTTGCCGCCTCCCCTCCCTGCAATGCCCCAGGGAGGGCATGGCAGCCTGCCGGGTGTGGCCTGTCCTTAGCAGCATCCCAGAGCCACGCCACCCCAGGCAGAGCCCACCAGCCCTGTGCCAGAACACGGGACTCGGCCCCCTGGCCCTGCCGACCTCACCTTCCTACACTGAACTGTCTCCTCCCCTCAGGCAGGGCAGCTTAAATGGGCCTCAAGAGGGTGGGCCCTCTGCCCTCATCCCTGAACCAAGCCTACAGCCTCAAGGACCAAGTTCGGCCCTCGGTCACCTGCAGCCCTGGAGCCTGCCTGAAGGGGACCCAGGAGGCCAGCCTGGGAGGAGGGTCTGAATGCAGGTGGGAGGCTGTCCAGGGCCACCCCCAGCAGGCCCAGGCAGGCCCTGCTTTCTGCCAGTGCCGCCCGCCCCCTGCTCCTGGCAGCCCTGGTGTCTCTGAGTACTTTTCCTCTGGTTATGAAACCTGTGCCGACAGAGCCTCCCCTGCAGGCTCCTCTAGGAAGTTGGCGAGCAAGGACAAAGGGGTAGAGCCACACTCTTGGGAGAGGAGAGGACTCCTGAGATGCCACCCACACGCGGCTGTGGAGAGGGGCACCTGCCATGGGGCCACTGACACCCTGTACCCCGGCCTAGAAGCCCCATGAGGTGCGTGTGAGGACAGGAGGGCGCAGAGGCCCAGAGGCGGGGAACCCTCTGCACAGAGGGGCCTGGAAAAGGCAGGGCTTGCTCAGCAAGAGAATGGCACCTGCAAGAGGGAGCTGCAGACACCCTCCCCTGCTGCCCCAGACCCATCCCCAAAACCCCACCCAGCGCCAGATGGCAGCCGTCCGCACGGTCTCAGGCCCCATCCGCTCTGGGACTGTCCTGCCCCCTCCAGGGGCTCACAGGGACATCGGCTTCAGCTTGCAGCTTCGACTGCCAAAAGGTGCTCAGGCGCACCACAGGGGCTCAGCTTGATGCCCAGGAGCCCAACGGGGCCACCTCAGGTGAGGAAGACCATAGGGAGAAAAAGCCCCAATCCGTCCCCCTCCCCCTCTGGGGGTGTTCCTCCGTCCCTGCCCCAGAGGTGGCCAGGACCGTGGTGAGCTCAAGGCTAGCCAGGCACAGGGTGACCCCACCACTAGGCAGGAAGGCCGAGGCGCTGATAACAGGCAGCACGGAGCCTCATGCGGGAGGCTGCCCAGAGCGCTGGCCTGCACTCTAGCTGTCATGTACACAGTGACCCCAGGGCAGGGAAACCGTGACAGGGCCCCCAGGGTCCGCCTGCCCCGAGCTGGCTGCAGAGAATAGCATGGCCCCTCGAGCCGCCCCCACGCATTTCTGGGTTTTGAGGCTGTGCTGACGTCTGTCACATCAACATGCTCCCTGGAGGGAGAGAAGCAGCCTGGACACGCTGTGCGGGGCGCTGGCCTCATTAGTCGGGTCTGGCAGCCTCCCAGGGTTTTATTTTTAAGATTTCCATTTATTCAAATGAGCCCCACTTAGGGCCAGGCCCCCACGTGGGAACCAGAGGCTGAGGGGGACAGCATAGCCTGGCGGGCTGCGGGGCTGCCGAGCAGCTCCCCAGGGGCTGTGCCAAGGTCGCAGGAGAGCCGTCCAAGCTACACTGGTAGGGGCGGCTGGGGGTTGTGTGACACCTTCCACCTCGGCACCCGCACGCAAGGCCAAGTGCTTTGGCCAAGCCAGGCAGCTGGGACGTGGGGCCGTCACCGCCTCTGTCCAGGAACTGCAGCGGCTTCCCTGACCTCCTTTCCCAGGGTGGCAGCTGTTTGCGGCGAGGCCACAGCTTCACTGCGCAGGTCCTGGAAACGCAGGCCGGGCCAAGAGCCTCCCAGCCCTTCAAGCTGTAGCCGCTCTGGGGGCAGGGCCACCCTCACATGCCAGGAGTTTTCCCGCTGTCTGGACGAGGGCACAGGGCGGATCTCGGCCTGGCCCTCCACCTCCGGGCTGCTGGAAGCGGCTGGGCCTGGCCCCACATGGGCAGGCTCCTGTTCCTGGCTTTTCTACTCCTGGTTTAGCGGGTGCTATGGTGACGGTGCTATAGAAACCCTCATCTGAAAGCATTTAAGACCCACAGAACGTTCCCACTTAGTCACCCTGCAATCCGAGAAGACAAAAGTGATCGGAACATATGTCTCCTCTTCTCTGCAAAGCAAGCTGGTGACTCAGAGTGGGGGAGGCGCTTTCTAGAAAAATCTCTGAGAGGCTTTGGTGCACCTCCTCCAATGTGGCCACTGCTGCAGCTTCCCATATTTCCCAAAACCTCATGCTGCCCCTTTAGCCCCGGCAGGTAATGGACGGGAGCGTGAGCATCATTCCTGGCCTGCAGTCGTCACCACTGGTACCTGTTACTCCAAGGAGACGAGGGAACCCAACCGGCTGGGGTGTGCAGGCACGGAGGCAGGAATTGGATGCCCTGCTGTTGAGCAGTGGCTTCCCTGGAGCCTGCTGCCACCTGCACCCCTTCCCCGATGGGCCTGGCACCCAGGCAAAGCTGGGCCATGGGGGTGGAGGAGGCCGGGGTGGCAGTTCCATGGACTGGAGCATCCTTAAAATCTCATTTAATCCTAAGAGCTCAGAGCACAACTTGGGGCTGGGGCAGCGGTGCTGCCTTGTCCAGGAGCCAGCAGGTGAGAAGGCCGGCCATTCATGAAGAAACGGTAGGGCCCCTCCTGCAGGTGTCAGGGCCCCAGATTCCCACTTTCCAGATTGGCAAGAGGGTCCGTGACCAACGGGTTCCAACCGCCCATGTCCTACCCCTGCACACCTCCAGGCCCCGGACAAGCTGTACACCCCTCTGCGCTTGTCCCCTCAGCCACAGACCGCAGGCGCTGAGCCGCCCCTTCCAGCGTGGCCTGGCCTGCCTGGCACGGCAGCCCCTGCTTGGTGCACTGAGGGCCCTGCAGGCACAAAGTCTGCATTGACTTCAGGCTCAGCAGGACGTGAGGTCTCTCACTGTAGTTTCTATGATTATCCATCAAAATAACTTTCTAGATATATTCAGCTAAGTAAGGTCTATAATTAAAACCAATTAAAACCAGCTTTACCTGCTTTTTTCTTTTAATGTGGTCACTTTTAGGCGTTAAGTGATGGGTGCGGGGTGCCTGACGCTACCCTTGAAAGCCTCTTCCGGCTCCAACAGTGTAAGAAGTGCCCGATTACTCTCAGCACTAAGGAGGCACCCCAGGCCGGCCACCGGTGGAGGCGCCATCTGGGGTGGGTGGTGGGCATGGGTGAGGTGCCAAGCGGGGACGGATGTGGCTTGGTCCCGAGGCTCACAGGAGCAGTGTCCTGCCCCGCTCGCCCCACGGGCAGTCCCTCCGGGCACCCTGAGTGCCACGGTGCCACCTCTGGACAAAGAGGCCCTAAGAGGATGGGCTGGCCTCTGGGTTCTCACACTCATCTTTCCCAGCGAGGACCCGTTTATACCCCAAGGAAAGCAGACGCCCCCACGGCACTGACGCGGCCCGTCCACAGACTGCCGTTAGTGCTGAAGAGATTTTTAAACGTGAGAACAGCAGACACATAAAGGGCTTAAACCGCCAGTCAAACCCCACACATCAGGGCCCCGCCTCTGCTATTGTCTTTTTGAAGATCTAAATTACGGTTATTTTGTTTCTGCTTTGTTAATTACACACCCCTTTAAATAGAACCAGTCTCTCCCCTTTCCCAGACCTTGACCTGCACTGTGCGCCTTCTGGAGCGAGCAAGCGATCCCAGCGAGTGGCCACCACGCTGGAGGCCCCGCCCACCACCCTCTGGCCAGGCCCTCAGAGACACTGCTGGTGTGACCAGCTGGCCATGGCTGCCGGCTCTCCTCCCACAACGGAACGGGAAGGTGGGCCTGGGCCAACTGAGCTGCCTGCGGCTCCAGGCACCCTGGCAAGCTTGGTCCCCAGTGGGTGGGGAGGCTGCAACACCCCTCCAGGGGCTGGTGGCCCTGCATGGGCCTGGGCCTGCCCCGCACCTGCCCATCCACCTTCAGCTTTTCCTCCCTGGTGTCTCTTCTGCCTCTAGGACCCCAGCACTGCCTGGGTGCTTAGCAGCCCCGTCCTCAGTGTTGGGAGCCCACGTGTGGGACAGGAAAGGCACACGCGTTCTCCATGCCCGGCCAGGTTCACACCCAACACACGCCACCAAGGTGCAGACGACTGCTGGCTTTCTAAGTGGTGAGGCCCTCAGAGGGCATGTGGGTGGCGTGTATGGCCTCGGCCTGAACCACCCAGGCTGGGTGGAGGCAATTAAACAAAGCCAGAGGAAATCTTCCCCCAAGACTTCAGGAGGTGCAGAGGGGAGAACGCACTGCTTCTGC